ATGGTGGTGGCGGTGGTGATGGTGTGCCATCATGCCGTTGAGTCGCTTCCTGCTAGGAGCGACTCTGTATATGGCTTCCTAGGTTGTAAATCTTTATGGGAACAGAAAGTCTCATCTTTTCTCCTGTGGAGTGACTAGTGGGTTTAAACTGCTGAATTTGCAGTTAGTAATCCAGTGATCATCCTACAGTGCCACCCAAGGCCCTAGTAGAAAAAAATTTAAGATACATACAATGATTTGCAATAACAAACAGGCACTACTTTGCAACATTAAAACATTATTATTATTGTATTATTATGTTAAGGTTGTTTTAGTGTATTTGGAAGTGTTTCTTTAATGTTTTTAATAACTTAGAAAGGAACATTATATATTAGATTTATTCCTAGGGACTCAATATCTTTGATTCTATTGTAAATTGTATCATTTTTTTAAGTGCTCAATTTCTAAATTTTTATTGCTTGTACTTAAAAAAAGCAATGGACTTTTGTGTATTGATCTTTTATTCAGAAATCTTGTTAAGCCCTCTTTATTTATCTACAGATTCTTTTGGATTTTCTGCATAGAGAATCGTATCGCCTATAAATAGTAAATTTAATTTCTTCCTTATCAGCCCTTAGGCCTTTTCTTTCTTTTATCTTGCCCTGTTGTGCTGACTGTGTTCTCTAGCTCAGTCCTGAATAGAAGTGGTAATGGTGCACTTCCTCGTCTTTTCTCATCTCATAGGGAAGCTTTCAAAGTTTCACCTTTAGGTATGAGCTTGCTATTTATTTTAAATATCTTTATCAGATTAAAAAAGTTCTGTTCTTTTACTAACAGGCTCCCCCTCCCCAACTTCATTGACAAATAATTGATGTACAATAAACTGCACATTTTTAAAGTGTATTGCTCTTCAGATAGTTTGATTAGTTTTGATTATGTATACATCTGTAAAACTATCACAGTCAAGACCATGAAATTTCTATCATCGTTTCCTGGTACCCTTTTGGAACCCATCCCTCCCTCCATCTGATTGTCCCAAATCACTGGTATTTTCATATAAATGGAATCATATTAATCTTTTTTTTTTTTTTTTTTCTTAACCTGGCCTATTTTACTCAGCATATTGATTCTGAGATTCATCCATGTTCCTCATGTATAGTTTGTTACTTTTCAAAATTGCTAGTATTCCATTGTATCTCTACAGCACAATTGGCTTATCTAAATGATGGACAGTTAGGTTGATTCCAGTTTTTTGCTATCACAAAGTTGCTATGAACATTTGTATACAAGTTTTGTATGGACATATGTTTTCTTTCTCTTGGGTAACCACCTAGGAGTGACAAGTATATGTTTATATTTTTAATGGAGGTGAGGGTGAAAATATGAAGAAAGATTTGTTGAATTTTGTATAAAATAGCTTTGTTCTGGTTAGGCTAACTTAGAAAGTTTCAAACAAGAACATTGAAACTCTCTCTAAATACTTGCTTCTCTTTTTTAAGCCTGTGTTCACAGTTGTTGACAGTTCTTTTTCTTCCAGGTATCTCAGGGAGTTTGAACTTCGATGAGGAGGATACTGATGGGGAAGAAGAAGAAGGGAAAAAGTTAAGATCTCATTCACCACATCCAGAAACAGAAAGACCCAATTCTGCTTCTAGCCAGAAGTCAACGACAGTATGTAGCTTTGAATCTTCTTCCACTGGAGCTGATTTGAGTATTTCCTAAACATTTCTTCAGTATTAAATGCCATTACTGAATGAGGGTTCCTTCAGATGGTTAAAGTTAACCTTGAAGTTCATGACTTTTGATTTCTTGTCTCAAGTCAACTTTGTGAGGCAATTTCCTTCTTTCCATATTTGGCTGCTTCGTTACTCCCAGTATTGGTGTCTATTTAATTTGTTGGTTCCTCCTCATTTTGTCAGAAGCCATAGGAGTAAAATCAGTAGGTTTTTTTGTCTATTAAGTGTTTCTCACAGAGATGATAAGATTTTTCCGACTGTTGTTCTTCCAGGATACAGGAGCTTCCAGTACTGCAGCCCAGCAGGCTGATTGCCAGCTGGGAGAGGTGGAGAATTTAGAGGAGTTTGCATATAGTCCTGCCCCTCGAGGTATCACCGTAAAATGTCGGATAACCAGGGATAAAAAAGGAATGGACCGGGGTCTCTTCCCCACCTATTATATGCACTTGGAAAAAGATGAAAATCGGAAGGTATGAGAATTGATTCCTTGGACAAATCTTGAGGTAGAGGGGGGAAGAACGTTTTGAAAATAGATGGTTGATGGGCCTTTAACATAAGGAAATAGCCCTGAAAATAAACCAAGTCAGCCAGAAGGAGATTATATTTATTAATTCCCAAATATTGTGTTATCACTGTTTTCAAAAAGCTCATAGTCTAATAGGCAAGTCCCTATTGCTCCCCTTCTCCCCCCAAAAGAAAAAGGAGCTTTATCCATAATGGGAGAGAATATTTGAAGATAATTATTTACCTCTATCTCAGTACTTATTTTTTTGGTATTACAGTATGCTCTTTGTGTTTCATTTAAAAAAATTTTTTTTTATAGTATAGCATGACATTATGGCAGAAGGAGACCAAGTGTTAAGGAATAGGTAGAATTAGAAATCTAGAAAAACATGTAAGTTAAATAGATGTCTAATTTCTTATTCTAGAAATTTTAATTCATCTTATACATATTTTTGACGTCATTTAATACTTGCTTATGGACAACTTGGTGTGGCACTATAGGATCAGCACTGGACTGCAAACCACAAAGTCAGTGGTTCAAACCCACCAGCTGCTTCTTGGAAACCCTGTACAGGGTTGCTATGAGTCAGAACTGACTCAATGGCACTTAACAACAAATGGCCAACTTATATTGTATTAACACCAGCTGTAAGTGGATGACTTTAAATAAGAGTCTAGAAATGAGATCATGACAATAGGTATCATTGTTATTACATTGTTGTTGTTAAAGTGCCATTGAGTCAATTCTGACTCATAATGACTCTATACAGGGTTTCTGAGAAGCAGCTGGTGGGTTTGAACCACTGACCTTGTAGTACGCAATCGTTGCTGATCCTACAGCCCCACACCAAGAGTCCCATTGTTGTTATGTTGTTGTTAAATGGCATTGAGTCGGTTCCAACTCAGAGTGACCATGTATAGGGTTTCTGAGGAATGGCTGGTGAGTTTGAACCGCTGACCTTGCAGTTCAGTGCCATATGGCCATGGCCACTGTGTATTGAATGTTTACTACACATAAGGCATGCACTAAATGCTTTTATTAATCACTTGTAATCTTTATAACAAACAATGTTGCATGGTAAGTTTTTTTTTTCAAAAAAATGTATTTCATTGTGTTTAGGTGAAAGTTTACACAGCGAATTAAGTTCCATTTAACAATTTTTACACGAAGTGTTCCAGGAGGGTCCAGTTTGCACACAGTGTCAGCATTCTCATTATTCCATTGTTGGTTCTGTTTCCATTGATCTGTCTTCCATCCCCCTCCTTAGTTTCTCACCTTTGTTTTTTCAGTAAATGTTGATTGTTTGATCTCCTATAGTTGATTGTTTAAGGGAACACTCATGGGTGATAATGTTTTATTTGGCTGAATGGTAGCCTCCAGAAATAGCTTCAGTTCCAAGTTCTAAGGTCAGATTAGGGTGATAGACTCAGGGGTGCCTCTATTGGTCCAATAAGTCTGGCCTTTTTTAGGAATTTGAATTTTGTTCTACATTTTTCTCCCATCCTATTTGGGACCTTCTATTGTGTCCTGGTCAGAATGGCTGGTAATGGTAGCCAGGTGCCATGTAGTGCTTCTGGTCTCAGGTTAGACGAGGCTGTGGTTCATATGGACTGTCATTAGTCCTGTGGACTGGTTTCCTCTTTGAACAAGGTAGTATTTCTTATCCTTACTTCATGGATGAGGTTATGGGGGTTAAGAGAATAATTTACTGCTCAAAATCACAGTTGGTGGCACAGCCACATTCAAAACCACTTCTGTGTGATTCATTCTAAACTCTGAGCCCCTGCCGATCCCGATCCCCTGCTATTGTCCAAATCTAGTTGAGTTTAAGAAAGGATGTATGAATATGACAATATTCATATCATGGAAATTATAGGGAGCAACAACAAAGGGATATCAGGATGCTCACAGTAAAGGGTGAAGAGGGTGTCTGTGATCTAGTCTCTCCATGGAGAGATTCTTGTTTTTTTAACGTATCATTTTATTTAAAAATTTTCACATTAGAGATGCCCAAAGTAAGAAAATAATAGTTTGTTACTTTTCAGTTTTATATTTGTAGGCAGATTATTTAATGACATTTGAAGGATAATGTCTCAGTTTGCAATCTATATTTTGATACATCTACAAGGAATGGAATTTTTATCTATATTCAAACATTCTCCAAGCTTTGCCTCCTAAAATTCAGAAATTAATGAGACATTTCCTCATTTTAAAGTTTCACTAGGACTTGTAACCATCGACAGAAGAGCATAAAAAAAACAGATGAGGATGTTTCTAAAAACTTAAGACAGTTAAAATTTTCTGCAAAATCTTTATTTATGAGTTAATAGACATTCCCACTGTCCATCATTCCTAGAACAAATATTGAAGAGGTATGATTGTAATATGCTGATAGCAACAAATTGAATTCCCATTAAGAGACTGATAAATTAAAAGGTACACACTCATATACAATGTTTTGCCACACTGTGAGTCTTCTAAAAAGCTAGGAGACAGTCCCATTATCTCACTAGAATACGGAAGGCAGTCTCACTAGTCTGTGAATATTAATTCCTCTCAAACCTTTTCCTCCAAGATTAAATTGTGAAAAGAACCAGGTTATTAGACGAGGGCTGTCTCACCAGTGGACATCTGTTATTTCCTCCTTACTGACAGTTGAACGGGGTGGCAGAGCAGAGGCAGAGGGGTGTACAATCTTTTTTTAAGAGACTAAGTCAAGTCAGAGTTTCCACAGCATGGCCACAGCTTTGCAGATGCCACATCGTGATAGTTGAAATAGTAGACCAGCAAAGGTTAAAGCCGAGAGTGCCAGGAGGCCAGCCTTGGCAGCTTTCTGTGGTGCAACCTCATGGACATAGTAACAACCTGACCCATGCCCCAGTGACCATGGAGAGTGAGAACCGCAGCTAGAGAGAATAGTCTGTCGCAGGGCAAGGATACAGATAAGCAGCTGGGAGCAGGCCCAGGAGCAAAACACTGACAACCTTCTCACCAGTCCAGTGGAGAGATGCAGCTCTGGAACCAGCACAGTGGCTGGGGGACAGGTGAATGTGCTGCATTCCTGGAGAAATGCTGAGACAAGAGCAGGTCTGGTCACTGGAGTTCAGAGGAACAGAGCTTGGGCTCCTAGAGCACCACAGACAACACTCAGCCTCCAAACCACTGCCATGTCTGTGGATAGATGCTTAGTCATGTCATTGGATGAAGCTCTTTAAGAAGTTACTGGAGATTTGAGAACTTAAACTTGTAAGCAATTAAGTGGAGAATTAAAGCTAGCAAATTTAGAAAATTTGTACAGGAAGGAAGCACTGGTAGTGAATACTATGAAGCAGAATAAGAGTTAAGAAAAGGGGGAACAAAAAAAATATTGTCTGCTTGGTACACGATAGGCAGGCATTTGTTAAATATTTGTTGAATGAATGGGAAAACAAAGCTCAGGGTGTCTTTTGACTTCATTTTTGACTGATTCTTTTTTCTAGATATTTCTTCTTGCAGGCAGAAAGCGGAAAAAGAGCAAAACATCCAACTACCTTATCTCCACTGATCCAACAGATTTGTCTCGGGAAGGAGAAAGTTATATCGGCAAACTCAGGTGAAAGGAGCCTTGTATCAGTCTCTGTACTTTTCTGATGCTAATGTTACTGTGGTCAGTTCTGACTACAGATGGAGGCTAGCTTTTTAAGGAACTTAGATCTTTGAAAGAACTTAGACCTTCCAGGCCTGCAGAACATAGTAAAACCTGTGAAAGACAGTAAAAAAAAAAACAAAAGAAAATGACAAATGACGCTCGTGAATGTGCATAGAGAGACCAGAAATCAAATCTTAGCAAATCAAATTCAGTGTGTATTAAAAGAAGAAAAAATATAATCAGTCCAGGAATGGAAGGATTATTAAAAATTGGGAAAGTCAATGATAGTTTTTTTGTTTTCCTTTTGATAGATTAATGGAGAAAGCATATATAGCCATGTCAGTAGAATGTGAATATTGTTGTTGTTAAGTGCCATCAAGTCGTTTCCAACTCAAAGCGACCCTGTGTAGGGTTTCCGAGGAGCGGCTGGTGAGTTTGAACCACCGAACTTGCGGTTCAAACCGACTTTGAAGTCCAACTCAGTAATCCACAGCACCACAATAGGACTCCTGGTAAAAACAGCAATTTCTAAGAGAAGCACTTAGGAGAAAGGAATAGAAGAAAACTTCTTAACTTGGTAAAGAACATTTATCAGAAAACAGGGCAAACATTAAGTTTAATGGTGGATGCAAAAGGTTTTTACATCATAATCAGAACAAAAGAAGTAGATGTCTGAAACATGCAGGTTTTTATTCAAGAGACGTCTAAGAAAGTTCGTTCTTCAAGTACTGTTTTGTTGGTTTTTTATTTAACATTTTATTGAGGTTTGGGTGAAAGCTTACAGAGCAAATTAGTTTTCCATTCAACAATTTCTACACATTTTATGACAGTTATAATTCCACTTCTTCCCTTCATTCCCTGTTCTTCTTTCCTGCCCTTTGCTGCCTTCTGAGCTTTGTTTTTAGGTGAATATTGCCCTTTTAGTCCTTTTTGGTTGATTGTTCTGAGGATTTTGTTCCTCCTGAGTGTTCTTGTTCACTGTGGTTGTGTGCCACCGAGTCAGTCCCAATTTGTAACAACTCGGAATGGGATTTCCAAGACAGAAAGCCTCATCTTTCTCTCTGTGAAAGTTTAGGGTGATAGTCTCAGGGGTAGACTGATTCAAACTTCGGACCTTGCAGTTAGCAGGCCAACTCATAATCCACTACACTACCAGGGTCCTTATTGTTTACTGTATAGGCCTGTCAGTTGTTTGATTGAAAGGTGATCTCCAGGGGTGGGTGGGTTCAACTCCAGGTTTGAAGGTTGTCTAGAAGGTTCCTTTAGCCTCTTGTCACCAATAAGTCTGATATTTTTTTATGACTTTGAATTTTATTTCCCATTTTTCTCCCGCTCTGTTTAGAATCTCTGTTGCAATCCTGACCAGAGCTGACGGTAGCGCTAACTGGGCACTGTCTAATTCTTCTGGTCTCAGGCTAGTGGTTGGAGGCTGTGGTTCATGTATCCATCCTTTGGGCTGTTTCCCTGAGTCTTGGATTTTGTTCACTTTTCTTTGTTCTGGACAGGAAGAGACCAATAGTTGTATCTTAGATGTTCACTCACAGGCTTTTTGGGTTTTTTTTTGTAAGTTATTTTATTAAGAAAATGTCTGTTTTACAAATTGAATGTGTATTATTTTGCAGTCCCTGAGAGCTCCAGTTGCTCTCATTCTTTGGCTAACACTTTGTAAAATTAGTCTTTTTATTTTTGGTTTTATAATTATTTGTTTATTTAATTGTAGAAATATATATACAACAAAATAGTTGCTATTTCAAACATTTTTATATGTATAATCCAGCCACACCACCTGTCCTCCCCATGTTGCTCAACCATCAGCACTATCCATTTCCAATTAGTCTCACTAATGTGTGCCATTTTAGTAAGTGTGGAGTGGTACCTAATGCACTCACAGGCTTTTGAGACACTAGTTATTACTCACCAAAGTAGATTGTAGAACATTGTCTTTATGGACTATGTTATGTCATTCGACTTAGATGCCCCCTGAGGCTATGGCCCTAAGCCCTCAAGCCTACTAACTCAGTCCCTAAAGGTGTTTGACTATGGATAAGGAATTTCCTAACTCTGCCGCAGTGTGCTTTACTATTTACATAGCTATATTTGCAGCACATACAAATACATACAATGTAGACTTACCCTCTGCTGAACCTATAGATGCGCCTGGGTATGCTCCCATATGCCATCCCACACCTGTTCAGCTTACATGTACACCTATGTATCTACTCATCAGTGTGGAGTCCTGGTGGACTGCTAACCACAAGGATGGTGGTTCGGACCCACCAGCTACTCCTCAGAAGCCCTACACAGCATCACTATGAGGTGGAACCAACTCAACAGTGCTTCACCACCACTGCCATTACTGTTATTGTAGGATTGTGTGAGTAATTGTTTTTATCCTTGGTCTCTTTTACTTTGGTGTACCTCACAGTGACTTCCTTTGCCTTCCTTGGTCATGATGGGCTGACCTCCTCATTATTATGTATTGCCTTTCCCTTCACTCAAGTTAATACCCGTTGTTTTACTATCTAGCTGGTGTGGCACTGTAGGATATGCACTGGACTGCTAACCACAAGATCAGCAGTTCAGACCCACCAGTCGCTCCTCAGAAATCCTATACAGGGACACTATGAGTCAGAAGCAATTCAATGGCACTTAACAAAAACAGCAGCAACTATTTAGCTATACTCTGGTCCCTGATAACTTCAAAGAATGTTTCTTTTTGTGTGTAAACCTTTTCTTGGCTTTTTATAATAGTGGTATCATAATAGTTGACCTTTTGTGACTGACTTACTTCATCCAACGTAACGTCCTCCAGGTTCATCCATGTTGTGAGACGTTTTGCAGATTCATTGTTATTTGACATCTCATAGAATTCCATTGTGTCTATGTACCATAGTTTGTTTTTCCATCCATCCATTGATGGGCAGTTAGGTTGTTTCTGTCTTTTTACTATTGTGACTAGTGCTGCGATGAACATGGGCTGCATGCATCTGTTTGTCACAACTCTTATTTTTCTAGGATATATACCAGTAGAGGGATTGCTAGGTCATACAGTGTTTGTTTCCAACTTTTTAAGGAAGTGCCATGCCATTTTCCACAATGATTGTGCCGTTTGTAATACTACCAGCAGTGTATGAGCGTTTCAGCCTCCCTACACCCTTGCTAGCATTGTTTTTTTAATTGCTAGGGTGAGATGATATCTCGGGGTTGTTTCGATTTACATCTCATTAATGGGTAGTGATCTAATACAAACCTGGTGTGGCACTGCAGGCTAATGCACTGGACTGCAAAATCTATTTGAACCACAAGGTTAGAAATTCAAACTTACCACCTACTCCTCAGAAACCCTGTACAGCGTTGCTGTGGCTCAGAATCTACTTGACGGCACTTATCATCAGCAACAACAATGGGTAGTGAGGATTCCTGGCATGGCGCTGTAGGATCAGCCTTGGATTGAGAACCACAAGGTCAGGAGTTTAAACCCACCAGCTACTCCTCGGAAACCCTATACAGGGTCTCTATGAGTCAGAATAGACTTGGCGGCGCTTAACAACAACAGAAAGATGTGGTAGTCTGTTTCTGCAAAGAGTTATAGCCTTGGAAACACTCTGGGACCATTCTCTGTCCTATAGAGTCTCTATGAGTCAGAACTGACTCAGTGGGTTTGAAATAGTTAATAACTGTGAGCATTTCTTCATGTATTTGTTGGTCACCTGAATGTTGTCTTTAATGAAATGTCTTTATATCCTTTGCAGGGTTTTTAATTGGATTATTTGTCTTTTTGTTGTTTAGGTATTGAAATTTTCTATCAGTTTTAGAGATTAGTCCCTGTCGGATAAGTTGTTGACAAAAACAAATGTTTCCCAATCTGTAGGTTCTCATTTCACTCTTTTAGAGAAATCTTTTGATGCACATAAGTTTTTAATTTTTAGGAGGTCTCAGTCATCTAGTTTATCATCTGCTGTTTGTACATTTCAAGTTATGTTTGATAGGCTATTTATACCATAAATTAGGACCCCTATGTTTGCCCCTATTTTTTCTTCTAGGATCTTTATTAGTTTTAGGTTTTACATTTAAGTCTATACTTTAGTTTGAGCTAGTTTTTATGTGGTGTGAGATCTGGATCCTGCTACATTTTTCTACAAATGGATATCCAGTTTTGCCAGCACCACTTCCTAGGAAACATAGAGATTTTTATAAAGGTTGAGAGGATAACAAAATTATCTCATTTGTAGATGATATGATTATCTATCTAGAAATCTACGAGAATCAACTGAAAAACTTTTAGAACAATTAACAGTTCAGTGAGGTTGGCAAAAAAAAAGGTCAACATATAGAAATCAATAGCTTTCTTTTATACCCAGCAATTATCAGGAGGGACCAGTCCCTGGAAAAGGAAATCCTTCTTGGTAAAGTGAAGGGTCAGCGAGAAAGAGGAAGATCCCTAACGAGATAGATTGGCACAGTGGCAGCAGCAATGGGCTCACGTGTAGCACAATTGTGAGGATGGCACAGGACCGGGCAGTGTTTTGTTCTCTTGTGTGTAAGGTCGCTATGAGTTGGTCCCAACTCCACGGCACCTAATAACAACAATACTCAGCAATAAACAATTAGAAAATAGAAATGTGACAGTTTCCATCATAGTAACAAGACACACTGTAAGATACCTAGGAATAATGCTAACAAGAACGTTGCTGACCTATATGGAGAAAAGCTGGCACACAGATAAACAGATAGATCCGTGGAGAGAATGTACAGAAATGATCTCTTGTGTATATATGATCGCTTCCTTGAATATACCCTTAGCTCCCTTGACCCTCTTTCTACATCATTTTTACTTGGTAAAACTTGAGACCTGGTTAAGTCAAACTCTTCACTTGTTCTGTGCTTTGAGGAGCATGTTCATTGCCACGAAATCTAATAACCCCCAGTACAACAGAATTACAACTATGCCTGGTCCTGCTTTAGCTTCATGATGATTGGCAGCCTCAGATCTGTTGTAGCCACTGTGTATTCTGAATGCTTTCCAACCGTCTTGTTGTTGATAAGTGCCATCAAGTCGATTCCACCTCACAGCAACCTTGTATAGGGTTTCTGATGAGCGACCGGTGGATTTGAACTGCCAACCTGCAGTTAGCAGTCCAGTGCTGATCCCACATGGGTACTCCCCTTCCAACCTCGGGGGCTCATTTCTATCACTCTACGAGACATTGTTCTGTTGTGACCAATTCATTGCCTCATTTTCAGACAGTCGATTGCTAGGCCTTCCTTTACAGTGCCCCTCAGTCTAGCAGCGACATTGAAATCTGTCCACCATGGGTTACCCTTTTGGTGTTTGAAATAACAGTGCCATAGCTTCCAGAACCACAGCAACATGCCAGCTACCACAGTGTGACAAATTGACAGACAAATTGAATCTGTTCAGTGGTTGCTGAAAGAAGCTGGAAAAAATTACAACCAGGATGATTTATCTCACTTAAAATGTGTTTAAATTCACACATTAAGCAATTGTGTCTCCCAATCTGAAATGATTGTTTCACATCTCTCTTGTCAAACTTCCCTTTCCCTCTCCCTCCCAGCTCACTCACAGATGATGATCATGCTAGTTATGCTGTTGAGAAGCAGAAGGAATTGGAAGGATTCACCTCCTGCACTTATATCTCTATGCTTGGCCTTCCCTATTATCACAATGATAAAATATCCCTGCTACTCTTGAATCAAAGTGTTGTAGCTCTCTGTAGGATAAGCACTGGACTGCTAGCTACAAGGTTGGTGGTTCAAGCCCACCATGGCACACCACCACCACCATCAGCAGTCTTCATGACCTGTCATTGTGTTATTTTGTGAGTGCATTGTCTGCCTATCCACGTTACAATATGAGTTCCAGGAGGGGAGAGTCTCTTGCTTTCTCCTTTGTATCCTTAATAATAGCTGGCACATTGTATGTGCTGGGCAAATATTTGTTGAGTGAATGGATAAATGAATGCTTTAAATAAATCATAGTTCTTCCATTCTGTGGAAAGTATGCAACAGCTTTAAGAAAAATGAGGTTGTTATTGTTATTAAGTGCCGTCGAGCCAGTTCCAACTCATAGCAACCCTTTCACAGGGTTTCTGAGGCTTTAAATCTCAGGAGCGGAAAGCCTCACCTTTCTCCTGTAGCAGCAGGCAGGCTCAAACATCGGATTTTGTGGTTCACAGCGCAGTGCTTACTATATGGAGTCACGGCGCTTCCCCCTCCCCCCCAAAAAAAATGAGGTAGCTCTTTACATATTGACATAAAAATATCTCAAGTTATTTTAAATTTTAAAAATCAAGTGTCAGAACAATCCTTCAAATGAGCATATAATGATGCGGTAATCTTTTTTAAAACTCTTTTAAGTCCCTTTTTTTGTTTTAATGACAGAGCTTTGAAAATGTAGTGATGAGCATTTTAGACATTTGGAGAACAGGCAAAATAGGCTTCTGCATAGTTACTTCTAGATTCTGTATGCCTGAGAGAAAAAGTGTAGCTCATCCTGGTAACTTTTTCTCCTGATTCTAGATCAAACCTCATGGGGACCAAGTTTACAGTTTATGACCATGGAGTCAGCCCAGCCAAGGCCCAAGGCCTGGTAGAGAAGGCCCACACCCGGCAGGAGCTGGCCGCCATTTGTTATGTAAGTACCAATCAGGAGTTGACTCCCTTCCTTAGTCTCCTGGACTTCACGCTGGCGTTTCAAACTTATGTAACCACAGCTAAACTCATCATCTTCCCTCCCAGGTTTATTTCTGTTTATATGATCCCTTGTTTCCATTGCTGGTATCATTTTCTCCATATACTTGTTTTAATTTTTTAAAGCTAAGGAACTGCCAAATTCAGTTGTTCTTTCCTTTTGTGTCCTGTCTTTCCTTTACCTCTTCTTCCATTTTCCTAAATGCCACTGTATTAATTCAGGACTCAGTTACCTCTTACCTCTTACCCATTGGCCAGAAGTTACAATAAATGAGAAACTGGTCTCTTTTGTTTCTGGTCTTTCCCTCTGTAGTCTGTTGTAGACTTCTGTCAGATAAATCTTCCAAAAACATAGCTCCAGTGGATCCTGTTTTATGCTTCACATCACTGAATGGGTACCCAGTGCCTACAGAATAAAGTCCTATAGGGCACATTAGCCTTTCCTTTCAGATTGCTCCAGTGGTGCTCCCCGCTCCCATTCCTGTCATTCTGCCTCACTGGCCCACCTGTAGTGCCTTTGGTCTAGCCACACTTACTTAATCACTTCCTACTAAACCAACAACAACACAGGCCTTGGCGTACAGTAGGCATTAGAAGGGTGGTTGAGCAAAAGAAGGCAAGAAAGAATTAACCCAAATTAGTTGTTGCTTTCATCTTACAGCCTCAACTTAACTTAAATTAGAATTATTCTCACCATTTGATTTCTGGGAGCTTGTATCTTTAAGCACCCGAGAACAGTTTGACTACCATCTTATATAGTATTTTCTCTTTCTAGCCTCAGACTCACTTATATGTTATAACCTATGTATTGGTGGTGTTGTTAAGTGCCATGGAATCAGTTCCGACTAATAGCAGCCTATTATAGGGTTTCTGAGGAGCAGCTAGTGGGTTTGAACCACTGACCTTGTGGTTCACAGTCCAGTGCTTATCCTATAGCACCACACCGGGAGTCCTATGGATTATATATGTATTTCCATATACACACACATACTGCATACACATATATTGGGGGGAGGGAGATAATAAGCTTATTTATATTTATATAATCCACCTAGTTTAACAGTCATTTGAGTGTTTTACTTCCTGGTACAAGTCCTGGAGTGCTACTGTGGTGCTGTAGGATAAACACTGGACCATAAGGTTGGTTTAAACAGCAAGGTTGCAATTCAAACTCACCAGGCACTCATTGGAAACCCCATACAGGGTTACTATGAGTCAGAACTGACTCAACAGTACTTAAATAGACAACAACAATGGTATAAGACGTATTTAATTTAAACTGTAATTCTCACTGTATACCATACAATGTCCTTTGTTCAGTGAGAAATGAATATATATATATTTTTTTTTTTATGACAAAGGTGGACAGTTTGGTCCTTAGACAGTTACTGCAAATTTCATTTAGGAGTAAGAATAAAGTTTCAAGCCATAGCATCTGTTTTAAATTCAGATTGTTTCAAATTAGGTTTAAAGCAAGCTTAGTATTACTTGTTTTTGGTTCTCTTTAACTACAGTAATATAATCATTTTTGGTGTTCCTGACATTGTCAACATTTTACATGCCCAAGAAATTAAGAATGTGGTCTCTTTTTACTTTTTGTTTTCAAGTTCTACATACTTTTCCTATCTTTTAGGAAACAAATGTACTTGGATTTAAAGGCCCTAGGAAAATGTCTGTGATTGTTCCAGGGATGAATATGAATCATGAACGGATACCGTTTCGGCCACGAAATGTAAGTAAGAACATATTTGATCTGTAAAAGAACTCTTAAAAGAGAAGACTAGACTACAGAAGAGATCAATTGGAAGAAAAGAAAACGTATATATACACCCACATTGTTGACATGTGAACATAATTTGATCACTGTAAGGATTCTAAGGACAAGAATACAATACAGAAGAGATCAATTAAAGTACATATACTGTACACACCTTGACAATTGAACAACTCCGCTTAGGAACATTTGAAAAAGCAGTTGAAAATCTGCTTATAACTTTTGACTCCCCCAAAACTTAATTACTAATAGCCTACTATTGACAAGAAGCCTTAGTGATAAACAGAAACAATCAACACATACTTTATATGTTATATGTATTACACAGGAACACAGTGGTGCTGTAGGTAGCACTGGATTGTGAACCACGTGTAAGAAAGATGAGGTTTTCTGCTCCTGCAAAGATTTAAAGCCTCAGAAACCTTACACAGAGTCACTATGAGTCCGAACTGACATAAGAAACTTAACAACAACAAATGTATAGTGTACTCACATAAAAGCATTTTTAATACAAGATAAAAAGATATTTTGCAAAAAGCACAAGGTTTCCTGAATTCCCTTTTCTTTTTATAACAATGGTCTTTATGTTGGATTCATTTATCTTGAAATGGTGGGCAATTGCAGCTGCAGACCTCAATCCACATACGATACACATTAAGCAACTGAGCTTTTTCTTACACTGTCACGGCTTTCCTCTGGTCCTTGGGAGCACTTCCAGCATCACTCGTGGCACTTTGCCTAAGTCCTATGGTGTTACCCATGGTTTACAGTACTGCACTAAGGATGATGGAAAATACGTGAAAACTGCAAGAGATCGCCTTGCACTGCAATGCACAGTTTACTAGAAAGGTAAACTGCTCGTGCAGATGACTAGCGTCACACAGGTTTTAAAAACAATCTGCGTATAAGTAGACTTGCGCAGTTCAAACCCAAGCTGTTCAATGTGTGTGTATGTTGGTGCTTCTAGAATCCCAAGCTTGAGTATGGTTTACAGTCTTCTTTAAGAGAGCTGTTACTCCAGAACGTTAGAAAAAGTGTTATTTCAGAGTATTTGCTAAAGCTGCTCATTCAAAATCACTTAGTCTACAAAGAGAAATGCTGAATGTTGGACAAGAATTTAAAGACCTGGTTGAATTTGTGGTTTTGTCTTGCTTTCCTCCCTCACAGTTGAGACTGAGTTCTTATGTACAAAGTAATGATTTTCCCTCTGAGCAGGACCACGAGAACTTACTTTCCAAATGGCAAAGCAAAATGATGGAGAACTTGATTGAACTACACAACAAGGCCCCTGTCTGGAATGATGACACTCAGTCCTACGTCCTGAACTTCCATGGCCGGGTCACTCAGGCATCTGTGAAGAACTTTCAGATTGTCCACGAAAATGACCGTAAGCCACAGGAAGAGCTGGGTAGGAATAGAAGAAAGATGTTCTTAACAAGTTGTGGAAATGAGTATTTTCTCTATAATTGGTAAAAGGAATCACATTCAGTTAAGAATTATTTAAGAAAGAGATTATTTCTCTTGAGAGGCACAATTACAATTTTCGAAACAAACTTGTAAACCACTGTGTTGAGGAGGGAGGGAAGAGTACGAGGTTTATGGTAGCAAATCCGAGAAGGCGAAGTTGAGGCTGTTCAGGGGAGCAAACCAAACAACAAACAACCTCCAGTACAGGTTCCTGTGTACTCTAGCCCATGGCGCTTGTATTGTTTCAGTAAGCTACCCTTGACTTTTCTCTCCTCTTGCCCTATCATGCTAGTCAGGAATAGCCTCCTATTCTTGGTAGTTAAGAAGAATAGTGATAGAAACTTTGCTCTTGTTTAGCAGACATTCATGATAATACTACTACTCTTTCCATCTTCCTAAAAGTTTCTTTTGTTTAACCTTCAAGAGACCTGGTGATTAACTGGAGGAGTAATTGGAGGATTTTTCTGTATCTTAAGCCCATTACTTTAAAATGTCCTAATTTCTATCTGTTTACAGCTGACTACATAGTCATGCAGTTTGGACGTGTAGCAGACGACGTGTTCACACTGGACTACAACTACCCATTGTGTGCACTTCAGGCCTTTGCCATCGGGCTTTCTAGCTTTGACAGTAAGCTGGCATGTGAATGAGAGAAAACACAGGCACAGAGCTGGACTGCCTCTCCTACAGAGCTTTCAGAAGCAGATAGTTATCTTCCTTGCCCCAAGAAGTGAAAACCAACAATCTGTCTTTTTGGAATGAACCCTGACTGTACTCACACAGACATACACACTCTCTCTCTCTCCTCCTCTGGGTTTTTAACACTTGGTCAGGGATCATTTCAGTTCAGCATGGGTGAGAGTTTGTTCACAGCACAGAGAAAGCTCTGGTTCCCAGAGCATCAGGGCACATTGGTGACTCCTGAGGTTCAGTTGTCCAGGATCCTACCTCAAGGATCAGAATTCCTTATGCTTCCAGAGATGATTCCCTAAATTGCCTTTATTTTCCAGGGCAGCAAATATTTTAGGCACTATGGGCCATATTGTCTCTTAAAACTTTTCAACTCTGCCTTTGTAGCACAAAGCAGCCATAGGCAGTTGATAAATGAATGAGTGTGGCTGTGTTCCAATAAAACTTTATTTACAAGAGTAGGCAACAGGCCACATTTGGCCTGTGAGCCATAGTTCTCCAACACTTGCTTCAGATACATATCCATATCATCTATGGACTTGGACAGCTTCCAAAATGAGCCAGTGGTCATGAGAGTATTTAAGTGAGAAATGGGGATACCTAGGAAACAATAGTCCTATAGACTGGATCTAAAGAGGTTTTTGCACTACATTTATTGTTACGCAGCTTTTACTTTGTGTTGGTGGCAGTGGTCCACAGTATTGTTGACCATTTAGGGTGGAAAACCTAAAGTCAGTAGTCATCTCAAGTACACACAGGTGACAGCTCTGCTGTCCCACCCAACGTACCCAGGGGAAAAGGCAACATCAGCCACTCTACCCACCCTAAAAGAACTTCTGCTTACTTGGAAAAAAGTCTAGAATTGTATTTCCTTTATCACAGAAGTGTGGTATGTTTCCCAGAGCTAGCTGGTTTCTCTCCAACCCCGGGGCTGGGAAGGTACTGATGTCACTGCCCCGTCTTCCCTCAGAGCAGGTTGGCTGGTCCCAATCTCATAGTGGCTATTGTGATCAATTATGTGAGAATTTTATGTAATTGTCTTAATTTCAGTTTAGATATAAGGTATAAACTCTAGTGGTGACTTAGTCCAGGTAAGACTAAGAGTAATTTGACAGTTGCCTTCACTTTCAGCCCAGGAGTGCCTCCCACAGCTATATTACCATGGAGCTGTTGGGCTAGGGGGACACAGACACCTGTAGACAGTGTAAAAGGCCAGAGAGCATTATACATAGAAACGTGTCATTGTCTTTATCTAAAGCAGAGGCTTGGTGAGGACCAGCTAGCTGGCTGTTTAGCATATCAGACAGCGCTGTGGGCCTTTCTTTTTACCACTGAGTCCCACCAGCTGTCTGAGACCTGGTGCCTCAGAGCGGATGGTGCCCCTGCCCCTTGTCCTCCCAGGTCCTAAGGTTTCAGATTATTAGCACCTCCCAACAAATCATCTGACCCAGTCCCTGAGTGCATCTGACTCTTGGGAATCCAAGAACTTTGATGAGCTCTATGTTCAGCATTGTTGCACCGAACTGTTTGCCAGCATGGGGCAAGGAACCCCATGGCTGTTGCTCCATTATATTTCCCTTCTGTGGACTTCCTTTTCTTCCCTGCTGCCTGCTGCTCCTTGCTCCACATCACACAGTCACATGAAGGAGCGGGGAACTGGGAGATGCAGAGGCCCTGTGCTCATCCCCACCGACAAGTCCTACTTGCTTTGTTGTGGCATGATTGGTTTCCATCTCAGGCATGCCCCCATCAAGTGCCTCTCTACAGAAGTGCCCTCAGGCCCTTCAGACCTCCTTCCCCACTGTCCTGATTACTGCCTAACAAGCCCCCATATTGACAATAGAAAGCTGTTCACTTATCCCCACTTACAGTATATGGCAGTGTCTGGGGAAGGGGGAGCCTAGCTGGATCTAATTCTGCTCCACCTCCTCTTCCTTGCTCAGAGAGAGATGCTACTCAGGTTCCATGTGCTTTCTGCTTGAGTATGCAGGTGATTGGTTTTACAGAAATCATATTTATACCTTTTGTATGCTACAGAAATAAATGATAATTTATATACACATGTGACTGTTAACTATTCTTCTTTACAAAGCCCCATCCTGTTTCCACTGTCATGTTCAGTACTAATGATTTTCACTTCTTGGCAATAGTGTGAATGAACCAGTTCTCTGAAGCCCAGCAGATACCAGTGTGAACTCTCACCTGAGGGTGGAGCAGGAGTCTACAGACTGACAAGTCTGAATTCCAGAGATTGTCTCAGCACACCATGCACATGATACCAAGAGTTTCTCGGGGCAGATGATGGGACAAAGGGCTGAGCATAGAGGGGGGCCACAGCATGGTAGAATTCTCTTATTCTGGATGCTCATGATTGCTTACTAACGCAACACCATAAACAGATGAAATGTTTAATAGTGAAATACATTCCATCTCTTACCTCTACCAGGTTGCGTAGTGGATTATGAGCTGGGCAGCTAACAGCAGTTCGAATCTACCAGTCACTGTGTGAGAGAAAGATGAGGCTTTCTGCTCCTGTAAAAATTACAGCCTCGGTAACCCTGTACAGGGTCACTATGAGTCAGAACCGACTCCACGTCACAACCGCTACCAACCTTGCCTCTAAGTGTTTACATTTCAAAACTACCTCACACAGATTTGTACTCGGCTCCCTGCTCTTATTAGTGTCATGGTGATAACGGAACATGGAAGAAAGCAGAAAGAGCCTAGGAGGTAAGACCAGAGCTAGAGTCAGAATTTAATTTTAATTCTTTTAGCTTAATTTTTCTCTTTCGCCTGAGTCATTTGGCTAAAGCATATTGGCTGGCCAAAAGGATTTGTTGTAACACAGTTTTGTACACTTTTCAGTGACCAGGGAATATATCCATGGTCGTTGATATAAAAGATTTCAGCAAGTGTTATTCTAAAATGGACCTGGAAAGGGCTCTTTTTTGATCAGAAGTTGAATAAACTTCAGAGAGAACCTTGGGATGTGGCAGGCTACCTTTTTCCTCAGCCCTCCAGCACTGTCTCTAGGTAGAATGGTTCCTGCCATGTACTTATATATGTCCAGTAGCTTACCTCCACCTTGTGGACCTCTCAGATTTCTCAGAACGGACTCCAGCTAGGGGCTTGCCATGGATTTGCAAGCCTCTGTCCCACCTCACACACTGAACCTTCTTAACTGCATACTGAATCATTTGGCACCTTCTTGCTTTGGTCTCTAAGCTACCATAGCGCATATACTTTAAAAGCTTCACTGTTGTGTTTACCGACCAACACTTTTCCCACCACAAAAACCTGGCAATGCCACAGTAAATAATTTGCCTTTGGTACACTGAGGTTAGGTAAGCTATGAATAAATTACAGATGGTTTCATGGCTCCACCTGCTGACCAAGAGTATGCATTACACACATGAAAAAAGATTCTGCAATCCCGGTCCCACTACCTTGTGTTTACCAAGACCCTTGTGCATGATTTCTGCAGGTCTGAGAACAGTAATATTCTAGAGTTTAGAAACCAAGTGAAATGCCTAGGATCTGGTACAAGGCAAGCACTTGACGTAAGAGGCTAGATGCAGATATTAGTGTTTTCGTTTTTATTAGCGTTCTTTTAAAACGGAACAATGAGTTTTGATTAATTCTTTTAGCTAGGCAGTTGCACAAAACAGCTTACAAACTACTTATAAAGCAGTTTGTGGTTTTCCAGGGAGTATGATGAAGGGAAAGAAACAGAGCAGGTTTAAATGGCTAGCTAACCATCTGAGTTCAAGTCTCAGCCCTGATTCTACTTCACATGCCTTACTTTGTACTAATTTCTCCATTTTTTACATGAAGTAACACTGTAGGCAAAGGGGGAAAAATAGCTGTGAGGTTAATGGAAAATTTGGCAACATTTCAAATATAAAATGATGTTTTCGTGCTCTGCCTAGTCTTTTGGTTTCATTGGGCCCGTGCTCCTTTGCACGCTTTTGCCCACTTGGCTATGTGACCCAAGTATGACTGTGAGAACAGAATCAGCTGTATAGGGAGTGAAGGTGGTAGTGGTGTGTGCTACTCAGTCAGTTCTCATTCCTAGTGACCCTGTTACAGGATTTCCCAGAGTAACTGGTGGGTTTGAACTGATGACCTTGCAGCTGTTGTGAAGTGCCATCGAGTTGGTTCAGACTCTTAACGACCCTGTATAGTGTTTCTGAGGAGCAATTGGTAGGTTTGAACCACTGGCCTTGTGGTAAGTCCAGTGCTTATCCTACTGCACTACACCAAGATTCCTGACTTTGTGGTTAACATAAAGCATAACCCACTACATCATCAGGGCTCTTTACAGCAAAGGTAGAGAGGGGACTAGAGGTAGGATCTCTTCTGCTCCACCACCATGTTGTATTACACAGTTTTAGTTTCATACACTTCAGCTGCTACGTGCTATCAAGTTGGTTCTGACTTGGCAACCTTCTATGATGCTTCTGGGGCTGCAACTTTTTATGGGAGTAGAAGGCCTCATCTTTCTCCCATGGATTTGAACTGCTGACACATAACCCACTATCCTACCAAGGCTCTTTAGTTTAATACGAGAGGCTTCAAAAAGTTTGTGGGAAAATGGAATTAAGAAATAGTGGAATTTTCCCATGAATGAACTCGTTGAAGCCTCAGGGGTATACTAGGGATTAATATGTAACTGAGCACTTGCTACCTAGATTCTGTTCCTTAGGATTCTCAACTATTCCAAGAATAACGACCAGTTTTGGGATAAGCTCTTCTGTGGTCTGAGGCAGGAAAATTAGGAAGGAAAACAGACTGAGGAGAAAGGGTGTCGGGCAGAGGAAGACTAGGAATTACACCAAGAATTTCAGAAGTTGAGAGTAGGGGACTGGGCTGCCACCCATTCTACTACCACAATGCAACTCGGTGCTGATTACCTCCAGGAGATGCTGCAGCAGGAGCTGGAAGTGGAGCACATGGAGGT